TATTGATCTATATAACTTGAGCTCAAATATTTCTTGATTGCTTGGCATTGACATATTTCAGTATGTAACACATTCACTTCCTACAAAAGAATATATAATATCAATAAAATGCAATGAACACAAACAAAATGAATTATAATTAAGTGTCAAATGCAAACACTTCATCAGACCTTCAAATTGATGATTCCTCTTATTATGTTTTCATATATACCGCTTTGCATTGTGGTAAAAGTGTTATCACTGATAAAGATCAGTGGCCTCAAATGAAAATATTGAATGTTTTCGCGAATATTGTGCTGTTGGCTATCGCGCACCTGACCCTAGCCTGCACGCAGACTATATTCTTAAAGTTCTTGCACAGGGCAGGACAAAAAATAAGCCATCTTGAATATCAGTGATACCACTATAACCATAATGCAAAGTGCTATGAAAACGTAATAATAATAATTAATAAATTGGTGATAATAATAATTAATTAATAATTAATAAATTAATAATAATAATTAATAATAATAATAATTAATTAATTAATTGACCAGTGTTAAGCTGTTGTGGTGTCCCATCTTCTTTAATGCAATTATTGTATGATATATTTGAAAGCGAAGCACAATAAGTAAATAAATAAATAAAGTAATAAGGGGAATCTAGTATTGCATGCAATGTTGGCAAAAAATGCCAACTTTTCTGATATGAAATTAAGAGCAAACAACATTTCATCTCACTTAATTAACCAATTAGCCTTTCTCATGCTGCCATTCTTGGGTGGCATTTCAGCTGAAGTCTGCAAAGTCCACATAACAGCAATTTTCCTTTATAATTTTTTTGACAAATGATAGCAAATTTGCTTTGTAAATGGTTAGTTTATTGCATTGGTTAATGAAAATTAGATGCCACCCAAAAATGGCGGATATTCGTCATCATGAGAAAGACGCTAATTGAGTACTTCTCCCCTTGAGAAGTCATGCTGTTAGACAAAGTCAAATACCCTAGCCTTAGACAGAGTTAAACAATAAAGTAGGGAGCATTAAGGCAATTCAATTTTTTAAAATATATGTTTTATATAGTCCACCCTAATTAGTATTCTTTATATAAAAATACTAATGAGAAGGCATCTATTGTAGTCGTGTTTGAAGCTATTCAAAACACTTGTAGTCATGTTTTATCATATCTAAGATGCTCGTGCTGCGCACATACTCACATTTTAAATATGATAAAACACTCGTACATGTGTTTTAAATAATATTTAAAGTGAAAGCCAAGTCCGTATGTAAACAAACGGTTTGTTTACATTTTGAACTGCTGTATTTTTCAAAATATGATGTACTGTCTGAATATCTAACACCATTTTGGTTCGCTATGCTTCTAAATGAATATGAAATAGAGTTTATGTTCAGAAAAATTCGAAATTTGGGCAATGTTTACATTCAGAGGTCCTCACATTGTTATGAGCAGATCCGATGCGCAGAACGGACTTGACTTCCACTTTAAACACCATTAATAATTCATAAGATTAGGCTTAATTCTATTATTGAAGACGCCTAGTGTATGGTATTTAAATACGTGAATGCATTTGGTGAAAGCATGTATCCTCCGTTGAGGATGTACATAATTCTAAGCAACATATTCCAGGAAAGTTGGAAACTTACCTCCAAACTTCTGTTCGTTTTAATAATGATGTCACTGTTTCTTCTACTTCTTGCGGTGTTCAACAATACACAAACATTTTCATGCGATATTTCACCACCATCAGTTAAACGACTTTCACCAACTGTGCTTCCAAACATTTTGGAAACAATATCACGAATGTAGTACTCAAAATATTCGAGATAACTTTGAAAATTACTCAAATTGGCCGCCATCTTGGATTTGACCGACGACCTCGTCACAGAATAAGGTACACAGAAGGCCGACTTTTTCGTTTTCCTATGATTTTCCTATGATTTTCCTATGATTTTGGCGTAACTCGTGATTCGTCATCAAATGCTGACGCCATGGTCCTAGCCAGTGCGCGACTGAGAGGCATTCACCCCCCTGATATCATTTAAAATGGCGGATGTCCAGGGGGGAATACCTCTCAAACCCGCACTGGCTAGGACCATGGCGTCAGCATTTTGATGATGAATCATGGCGTGGCAGCGTTACTCGAGTCGACCTTCTGTGTACCTTATTCTGTGCTTTAGACTTCGCTAATGCCACAGATTAAGAGGACCAGATGTCCGACTTCAGTCAAAAAAGCGTAAGGGCTTCGTCACTGCGCATGCCGTACTGCGCATAGCTTAGCAAGTGACTAGAGGCAGTCACCCCCCCGACATTAAATTTCAAAATGGCGGCAACAATTTTATTTTGAGACAACAAACATGAAAATAAACTCTTTTTATTTGCCCGAGAGAGGGATTGTGTGGTTAAATTTGTGTTTAAAACTTTCAACGTCAGTACGCGTATTGGAAAAGCGAGTTCATCACACTTAGTTTGCAATATTTTACGAATTTTTCTCTTTTTCGATCGTCGTAGGAGTGAAAAACTATAGGCGAAATGAAAATGCCACTTTGCTGAGGTATTTGAAGTCATTTTTTACAATGTATTGTACGATGTGTTTTCTTGCACTTTCTACGATGTCTGATATTCATTGATATATGTGTGCATAATTTATAGTTTACTTTGCATAGATATTAACTAGAAGTTAGTTTTGTTTACAAATTTTACATTGTATATGCATGAATGTATACATAGTATTTGTATTAAAATATTGAGTTAATTCATCTATTTATACAAAGACTCTCTAATAAAAATCTTGTAACAGGAAATGTGAGTTTCAGAAACTGTGTGTCTCAGACAAAAATTATTCTAAAATTAAATACCTCACCTACAAACAACATATTACAAAAATATGTAATTTGGGTATATTGGACAGGTTTCCTCTAATGTTAGTACAGACTACATGTGTAGGATATTGGCACACTGACTAAATGGGAATTCAATATTTAACATTCTGTAAAATCTGTTTTGTTACACAAGTCTCACAATCTATAGTAATTATATTCCTGACTGGAAAGTTTGCAAAGGGTGCAGCTAATTTTTGTTTTAATATGTAAAATAGTATTATGCCGCAAACTACAAACTTTCCAGACTGCGGCCAATATGAGACTCCTTTTGTCGAACCTCTGTTAGGCAGCCCTCCTTTACGAATCATGCTTAATATTTTGCTTTATATGCATATTAATCACACATAAATATAATGTTCAACAAGTCTACCTATTACTGTAATCAGTGATTTTTGAATAAATAGACATTGGAGCCCCCCCCCAGTCTACTTTATGACCACTTCATTGAGCATTGAGGTTGAATTGTATTTTTTATACTATTTAATTTTGTTAATGTTTAACCCATTAAGGGCCATGGCTCTCCCCTTGACAAGTAAAATCGTCTGGCGTTAGACAGAGTGAAACAATAAAGTAGGGCGCATCAGGCCGCAATGTGACTCAATTGGTTAATGTAAAATAGTATTAGTATATAACAACAACAGGGAGTTGCACATTTGCATGATAACACTTGTTGCAGGTTAAAGTCATTACCAAGTGAGTAGTTACACAGATTTATACAACAAATTAGGCTTTTTCAATAATTATGTCATGTATGCCGGTTTAGCCTGGGCACCTCGCTTTCATGTATCAGGACAAAATGTGATTGGATCACTCTTCATGGGAATTTGTTGTTTGTAGGTGAGATATTTAATAAATATTCTAGAATAATTTTGTCTGAGACACTGCAGACACACATTTTCTGAAACTCACATTTCCTGTTACAAGATTTTTATTAGAGAAAATACGTAATAGATGAATTAACTTAATATTTACAAATACTATGTATACATTCATGCATACAATGTAAAATTTGTAAACATTTTCAAGTCGACAAACTTATCTAGTTGTCTATTAATATATGAATTTACTTAATATCTAGCTTTCTAGTTAATATCTATGCAAAGAAAACTATAAATTATGCACATAATTTGTCAATGAATATCAGACATCGTCAAAAGTGCAAGAAAACACATCGTACATTGTAAAAAAATACTTCAAATACCTCAGCAAAGTGGCATTTTCATTTCGCCTATAGTTTTTCACTCCTACGACGATCGAAAAGGAGAAAAATTCGGAAAATATTGCAAACTAAGTGTGATGAACTCACTTTTCCAATACGCGTACTGACGTTGAAAGTTTTAAACACAAATTTAACCACACAATCCCTCTCTCGGGCAAATAAAAAGAGTTTATTTTCATGTTTGTTGTCTCAAAATAAAATTGTTGCCGCCATTTTGAAATTTAATGTCGGGGGGGTGAATGCCTCTAGTCACTTGCTAAGCTATGCGCAGTAAGACATGCGCAGTGACCAAGCCCTTACGCTTTTTTCAATGAAGTCGGACATCTGGTCCTCTTAATCTGTGGTAGAGACATACAGAGACGTAACTAGTGTACCCACTTTTTTTGTGCGCATGCTCGGCAAGTTACTAGATGCATGCATCTGATTGGATGACGACCTGATGACGACTCACTTTAAACTTGCTGAGCACGCGCAGTGATCATTTTTTGCCCGGTCGCCTGAAAAAAAGTGGGTACATGATAACGTAATCTTCCGCAGTGTTTAAAACGGTCAGTTACGTCTCTGTATGTCTTATCTACTCTGTGATGTAGCCGCCGTCCAGATTCACGGACGAATACATTAAATTCTCAACCGGTAAAACAAGTTTGACAAGTTTTTGTTGTTGTGCGCATGGGTCAATGCTTGTCACTGCTGGTAAAATGCGAGCCAGTTCTACACTTGAGAAAACATCATGCTCTAAATATAGTAACACGCGCTATAAATATACTACAAAATATTATAACTTTACAAAATATTGAATAAAATGTGAGAAATTATACATTAAGAAGACTTGAAAACCGCATAGCGTTCAACAGAATCCACACTGCAACAAAAATCAACCTTTACAGAAATAGTAACGCCGTCGCGACGATCTTTGATGGGTTGAAATTTGTGGTTGTTGAGGTCGCAACAAACAAATTATTGCAATAATTGTCAAAGTCAACAGTAATTGGAAACAGTATATTATTTGGAAACTTTGGGAATTGGAATTTATCGAAAACCTTAACACAATCTCTAACGTCAAGACGTTTCAGTAACACAAATAAAGTTCATCAACCGAATTAAAAAAATTGATATTGTCGGATAAATACAAAAATTTTAAAAGATATAACAGAAATTTAAATGCACAATTTGTACTTAGCTGTAGGGTGAAGCACCGATTTCAAAATATTTTAGTGCGGGCAATAACGAGATTAAATTAAAACCGATACATAACTAACTCCGTGTAGAATTAAAAAGTCGTTCGATTAAAACTGACAGACAACAAATAAAACCACAGATAAAACAGTACTATGCCACGCTTGTTTACAGATAACGGACTACAGGAAATGAAGTCAAATTAGTGACTTCCCATCACGTGGTCTATCTTGCTCGCAGTGGTTTCTCATCAGCTCAGAAACCACTGCCAGCAGGGCATCAAATTCCCTGCTAAACTTCAGAAATTTTTTACTATTATCTTACATATTTCTTGTTTTTCAGTTTATTTTCGGCACTTTTACCCAACTTATGTTCAACGTTTGCCCGACATACGTTCAAAATTTGCCCGATTAACTTATCGACATTTCCATTTTCGGGGGGGGAGGGGGGGGCAGCAGCCCCCTCGTACGCCTATGCTTGTTGACAACTGTGATTTTGGCTTTATAGCGGAAAATTTGAGAAATTGACAATTTTACCTATTAAAGTACTATGTTGACAAAAATGCAAAATTTCAAGACCACCGTTAAAATACGATTACACTTTACAGTTAGAACGCTGGTAAGAAAGTATCTCTAAGACATTTAAGAGAGTATAGTATGATTTTGGTAAGCTATGAAATAATTTCTTTTGTAAACTCGCACATAGTTAACTATACTAAAAAAATTCAATTTAGTAATTTTCTGGTATTATTACAAAACGCCTGTTGAAAGACAGGGTAAAACATGACTGATTTGCACTGGCTGAAATAAGTGCGCCATTACAACCACAAAATAGTGCCTTATCAAATTTAAATTAATATAACAGTTGCACTCCTCTCAATCAATCCGAAAATTATGTAATTTCGACAGGCATGTAATGAAGAACAATGTTTCGCGGATTGTTATTGCAATATGATAAGCACCTTTATCACAAACGTCCAAAATATGCGCGCATGTACTCTACCAGAAATTCTGATGTTATATATAGCCTATTGGTTAGTATAAGTCTCAGTGTTGTTTCTAATCGTGCTCTCTTTTATTAACTCGAACAATCAATTTGGGCTACAAGTTCGAGAGATGATCCGCAAATTTTCTATCGACTACGTATCAATTTCATTAGGTGATAACTGTCGCTTGTATCTTCGCTCTGCTGTTCAAATAGCTTTAACTTAATATCAAGCGCCTGTTGACATGACTCCAGAGCAGAATTATAATCTTGCATTTCATACTGACACACGGCAATCGAGTGGTAGCTTTCAGCGGACATTGGGTCTTCTTTTCCATAGAGTGCCACTCTGATATCCAGGGATTGCTGGTACCAATGCACAGCTGAATCGTACTCTTTCAAGTAATACTTTGTCGCTCCAATGGAATAACAAGCGCGGGAAACGTCTCGGTGGATTTTCCCGTGAATATTTTGTCTGATATCAAGCGCTTTCTCGAACGATTTCAGTGCTGACTTGTAATCTTTTTTCGCAAATTGGGTGTGTCCAATCTCATGATAGCTCTCAGCGGTGTCTAAGTTGTGCCCATAAAGCTTCAACCTGATGTCCAGTGCTTCATAATGAGATCTCAAAGAAGCGTCATAATTCCTCTGTCTGTATAGAGTTGTTCCAATGTAATAGTACTTTACGGCTGTATCCGGGCTTAGCCGACCGTTTTCTTCTATAAAATTATCAAGAGCGAGTTGCAGCGCTGTTGGACTCTCTTGCTTTATTTTGACCCTTTCCACGGCGTTTTCAACGAGTAAGAGTAGTGGACGGTATAGACGGTCGTTCTGTGCCATGGCTTCGACTTCTTTCCGTAACTTTGAGACAGGCAAACCAAGTTTATACATTACTTCCTTCATGCCGTAGCAATCCGCAATAAAGTTGATGAGAAGAGCAAGCGCCAAAATTAGTGGTTGACTTAAAGCTTTCGCGTTTTCATTCTCTTTTTCGTCAGCGCAATCGGCTTCTTGTATAGCTTTGAAGAAAGCATACAAGGATGGTCTGTTAGCGCATTCAGTAAAAACAATGTTCTGGTAATAAGAAGAGTTTTCTCTCTTAGCAGCAATCAAAGCAAGAATCTGGGAGCTTAAAACCTTAAGTACAGTATTTTCGGAACTCAACAGAGATATCCCTGTTTCAAGAATTTTGCCTCCTTTTGCCGCCGCTCTATGTATTAGCAAGTGAATCCCATAGTAACAAATTCGTTTTCCAATGGCAACTTCTGAAGTAAGGAGAGGATTTTGCTTCTCTATATCTTCGGCTTCTTTTAGTAAAGCCAATGTAGCTCCATCATACCAGATTATTTCGGAAAAAGCTTTAGCAATAAGCAGTTGGTGGACTGTTTTAAATTTACGCTGCTCTTTTGCCTTGGCTATTGCGAAATTATAAATTTTGTAAAACATCCAGCCACGCTCGAAGTAGCAAACGGTGTCCAAAAACAGATCCGCATCGGAAAGAACATCGAATATTGCGTCGCAGACAGCCTCGTTTTGAATACCTTCGGAGAGACTATGCACCAAATTTTCTTTGTTCAATTCGAAATCGTGAAATGCGAGGAGAGAATCCCCAGCGAGAAACTGGTTATTTAAATCTTCAAACAACTTGACGTAATAACTCAGGAATCGCCTTTGTGCTTCGCAAGCAATTTCTTTCATGTCAGCCGCTTTTTCGGAACCAAATGACCTGACAAGAGGGTGAAAAGAAAACAACACTACTTCGGAGGAATTTGCTTCAACCAAATATTTTTTCTTGAGCCTCAACAAAGTTTTCTTTGCTGTGTCCTGATCTCCTCCAATAACGTTTATTGCAGCTTGCTCGTCGAACACTTCACTGACGAAAACTGAAAGACAAACAAATGCTTCTTGCTCTTCTCGAGACAGTCTTCTGAAATAAGACTCGAACAAGACCTTTAAACTCTGATCATTAGGCGCATCTGGATCATCCAACAACTCTATTACCGTTTTTGAAGAACTGCTAAAGTTGTCAAGGAATTGTGATGCACTCTTCTTCTCGTCAACGATTTGACCGCACAAAAGCATGATGGCCAGTGGAACGTCTCCACAAAGCTCAGTCACTCTGCAACATTCATTTTCATCAGCAGAAGGGACAAGTTCTTGAACAAGCGTTTGCGCCGATTTTCTCTCTAGCGATGCAACACCGACAGAAGTGTGACCAGCAAATTTTCTTCCCAGCACCGATTGAAGATTCGTCCTTGTGGTCAATAGAAAGGACACATTATTGCAATGAGAAAATATCTTTTCCAGTAGGTCTGAAGCATCTCGGCTCGTTTCACCACCACTCTCAAAAAGGTTATCGGCGTTATCGAGGATGATGCAAATATTGGAAGGTATTGAACTAAGGAGTCCGCATAGTTTTGAACGCTCTCGCCCCGTTATATCAGACGACGCATGTGGAAATGGGTTTAGGAGCTCAGATATCAACTCTTCCGCTGTCTTGACGCTTCTTAATGAAAGGAAATAAACTGGTAAACCGAGCTGTCTAAGTTGGTGTCCTACTGAAATAGCCAATGAGGTTTTTCCAAAACCAGGGGGTCCAGATACAGAGACTAGCCGAGGAGATGTAGACGTCAACACACGCAAGATATCTTCACATTCTTGTTGTCGACCAATGAAATGGGGCACCATGGGAGGAAGGCAGGGCTTGGGCACAAACTTGTCAAACACTGTTGTCAAATATAGAAAATACGGTTAAAATGTAGCCGTTACCTGCGAAAGAGCGAAAGCAGTGAAGCATGCACTAGCTTGTTTTTAAAAGTTACAAAAAAGGTGCTCGTACCCATTGAGGGGGCGGGGGGGGGGGGCATGCGAGCGAAGGTACATAATCCCTACTATACTGTATATAAACAAGAACTTGTTCGATTCCTGCAAGGGGCCTATAGTTGGATTTTTCGCAGCTACTCCTGGAAAGGTCTGAAATTGAATATAATCTTTCACTCGGAATTTTCGTCTACAAAAAACCCTTCAACTGTCAGTCGTATATCCACCGGCAGATGATATCTCACGCTGATTGTGTAATCATAGAATTGGGTGGCATATCGTAAAAAATCACAACGTCACGTGCGGCCAATGTTGTTTCCTGATTTGACAATTCAAAGTTGAGCTATAATATTCAGGGGCGAAACTAGCCTCTTTTATTTCGGAGGGTGTCTGCCAGAATTGTCCGGCAAAAACCAATGATGCCGTGCAGCAAATTTTTAGTTCTGGCCACTATTTTTCCCAAAAATGTTGGCCTGCGGGACATTAAAAAAAGGGTCGACATAAACCAGTTAAATTAAGGGTCAAAAAAATGTTTCTGTACAAATTCCTGTTAAAACATGGGTGAAACCCTTAATTTTGGACCAATATCCGTAAAATTTAGGTCTATAAATTCTATTCAATACCCTCCGAAAGCCCTGTAAGTTACTTAATAACTCTACATTCTATTATTTAAAATATTTGATTGCCATGCCAATCCAGATGAATCGCCCTGCCAATCCAGATGATTCGTATTTTGGGGGGTGTCACACCTCCATACCCCCCCCCCTGAAGTTTCGCCCCTGATAATATTGTATTATATAAAGGACAGTGTTTTATTGATTTCCCTCCACTAATAAAAGTATAATCTTATGTGTGTCGGACATGTGACGGTTATCGCTGAATCAGCATTATAGTTTAAATTAATGCCATTTTTCCGAGGTAATAGGAAAATTATTTATGTACTAAAGAGAGCAATACATGAACACTTGGAAATATGAAATTTATTTCTCCTGTTGACAAAGATGTTCTGATCAACACTCAAAATCAATTTTATATTTCCACACATCCATGTGCACTGTAGAAATACCCTGGTTAGAAAAATTCGTGGCGAATCCGCTAAAACTAACACTGTCTGGGGTAACTTACCTTCTGTCATTACCAAGTCTTTTCTCTTCATTCATTTAAATACTTAATTAGAAATTACCCATGCAATGGCTGAGGTGTCCAATTTATATATTCATTCATGACTGTACGTTGTTATTATTAGTTTTGTAAGTAATTATTGTGTTAGTATAGTTCTATGCATGTAATATTTTTGTTAAAACGGCCCTTTGTAAAACAGATTGCTGAAAGTCCACTGTGGTTAAATAAGTTTAAGTATAAAGTTTGTTCGTTCACTGCAACCAGGTAAATCAATCATGTTTCGCTCGCTACTCTGGTTTAAATAAATGATTACAAAGCCCAGTCGAATTGTAATCAAGACCCAACGTTTCGACACTCCAGTCTAGTGTCTTCATCAGGGGTGATCTGAAACTGCGATCGAGGCTTCTTAAAT